ATGTCTGACCCTCTTGAGGGGACCAGTAAATCATTCTTACAAGAAGTGAGTGATGATGAGCAGGATTAGAGGGGCCCTGCCTCCAGCCAGGTAGAGGGAAGGGATAATCGGATTTACTGAACAGTGTGGATCCGATGGCCTGGCACGTCAGACCCACAAGAGTATAAGGCTTTGGTGGACACTGGCACACAGTGCACCCCGATGACATCGAGCTACAGTGGGGTTGAATCCATCTGCATCTCCGGAGTGACAGGGGGATCCCAACAGCTGACCCTACTGGAAGCTGAAGTGAGCCTGACTGGGAAGGACTGGCATAAGCACCCCATTGTGACTGGCCCAGATGCCCCGTGCATCCTGGGCATAGACTATCTCAGGAGAGGGTACTTCAAAGACCCCAAAGGGTACCAGTGGGCTTTTGGTGTAGCTGCCCTGGAGAGGGTTGAACAGTTGTCCACCTTACCCGGCCTCTCAGAGGATCCCTCAGTGGTGGGCAGCTTAAGGTTGAGGAGCAGCGAGTGCCATGAATTTAGCTCAACAGTAACTTAATGCTACTCACAGAAACATCAGAGCCCTGTAAACACTGGCACAAGACTAAGATTAAAATCAGAAAATGGTTTTGGTATTCCCACCCCAGTATCCTGCACAATGCAGGGACAACTCAAGTATGTAATGAGGTAGGGAGTTTGCCCAGGCAAGTACTGAGCCTCCTCCATTCTGGCTGAAGTCAGTACAAATTGAGAACACTCACCAACTTGTTTGAGTGATCTCAGGAATAGAAAATGCAGCACAACAAGGGCTAAACCTCAGTTAAACCCTGCTGCTTGTCCACATGCATCAGTGGATTTACAAAGGAGAAAAAAGAGGAAGGAAAAGGCTTGATCTAGAAACTACATCAATAGGATTTTCATTTCATTTTCAAATGAGTTCCTGGAACCCCCTGATTGCAACGCCAGCCTTGCAAGGCAGATGACAAGACCCTCTGTCGAAAGGTGGTTCTTAGAGGAAAGAGAACAGAGCTCTACAAAGGTGGTTGTTTTCTCCCAAGCCTGCACAAAACTGCAGATGGCTATCACAGCAAGGTAGTGCTTTTCTCAGATGCTTTATCCTCGTGGCAGCTGAGATGTTCAGAGGTGCTGGCACATCCACGCTACCATTACTTGTTCAGATTCAAACAGCAATAAACAGCCAGGGCTGGGATTTCATGAGTTTCCTGCATGTGTACAGTGACCACTAACACACCACCAAGCCCCTGCATGGGTGGTCTCATTACCGAGGTAAGCCTGCTCAGCCAAGGAAAGGGATTCAGCATCCCAACACGTTTACATTCCTAGCTGGAGTATGAGCTGGGATTTTTCACACCCAGACCCATGTACATGGGGGAAGTGGAGGAGTTTGGACATGTAAAGCAGTGAAGGTCAAATTTTCATTGTAAATCATTATGCTCTTAGCAGCAAAGACATCTTCTTCACACTCACCTGTAAAGTTTGTAGCAACACAACTACCACCAAATGGACAGTCTATCCAGGAGACAGCACCTTCACTCCTAACCAGGACAGTAAAGGAGGCACGATTCTAATCAACCAAATAGCAGGCAAAGGGAAGAGCTTCGTGTCTCCTTAAGCAATGCTAGGGACAGATTTGACTCAAGTTCAGCAAAAATTCAAGCCAGGCAACAGGCACCTGATCCTCCATCAGTCACACTAACAACAGTGGGATTCACTTGTGACCAAGATAATACAGACACACAGTAAAGCAAGGAAAATGCCTCCCAGCACTCTACCCTGATATTTGGCTCTTAGTGCCTCTGTTTCAATAGAAACAGTCTGCTGGTGGCTCTGAAAGAGCAACCCAGCTGCTTTTTGTATGCGAGTCACAGGGAGTCTGACAGCGCAGGACAAAGCAGCCAGGGCTCGCCCCGCCAGGCTGGGTAACATGGTCTGGGGCTCTGCATGATGTCTGCAAAAAGCGGCTTTTAAGACTGATTGATTAAATGCTTTGGTTTCACTTCAGCAATTCATCTCAGCAGCCTTTTACTTCTTTGTATGCTTCAAAGTTTGAGAAATAATCCCTTAATTATTCCTCGCTCTCTTTCTCTGTCTGTGGTTTATTAAAAAATAACTGCAGCACCGTATTGACAGGCAGGAACGAATCCTGCCTTCATCTCCCAGGTAGCTGCACCATGTTCCGGGGAGGTTGCCTATTCCAGAACCAGAAGATAGTTTGGTCCCTGTGGCCTGTCCATGAAAATAATTTTTGCAAAGATTAACCATGGAGGGATCAGGTGTTTCAGTAAGAACAAGGCTCAGGTTTTCAAAGCAAGCTGTGAAGATCCCGGCCCTGGATTCTTCACTTGGACTCCATTTCACATGGTATAAACCCCACAGCCCTAACCTCTAGTGTAGTTAGCCCTCATCCAACACAGAAAAAGATCTATCCCTCTGAAGTTTATTCTATAGGTTCCCTAAATGCATACAAATGAGGCACCTTTTGTCGTTCTCTGAAATTTCAGTTGTTCTGTCAAGAAAGTGTTACCCAAACCAATTAGCTTCTCTGAGTGAGCATAAACCATTCTCTGTGAATGTGTCATTGACTGAAAAATATTAAACAAAGCTGTGATAACTCAGAAGGCTACAAAGAACATCTGGAAGATATAGGAGCATTTCTAGAACGTCTACAAACTCAAGACAATAAAGCGCTCATTGCTGGGCTAAAGCATCGCAGTTGCACCTAGGTGAGGACATCACACTTCCCAGGAATGCAGTTCAGGAATAGGGACAAAACAAACCTCTCCTTCAGGCAAGAGAAAATGCACACCAAATGCATTCAGGCAATTGAAGAAGTGTCTCGACCAGCATCACGAGATACCTCTGCTGAACCAAGGCAGACAGAAGCATTTTAACATCACACCTTTTCTTGAGTTCTTCCCACTTACTCTTAAAGTGACTTACAAAGCTGACAGCATTTCTGTGGCCCGAGCTTGGCTTCTCATACCCTAGTATAAATTTTATACCAATCTTGGGAGGCAGCGATCACTCCCTGACAAACCCCAAGAGCCCTCAAGCCCTGGCTGCTTCAGTCCTGATGCTGTGAAGTGTGGGATGTAGATGGGTAGAGAGCAACATAAAAAAAGGGTCTGTGGCAAGACAACGGGAGAAGCAGTACAGGGGACAGAGGTGCGTAAGAGACAGGGGGCATTTAGAGAGAGTCCGACAGAGACATGCATTCCCCACATTACACTTCAAACAGAGCATTGTCTAGGAATAAAACTTCACACCTGCATGTGCACACTGCAGTGGAGAATCAAGGTTCCTCCTTCCTCCACTCAGCAACTGGCAGGAAAGCAGCATGCCAAAAATCTCATTCTTGCTTGAGGGAACCCACTTTAACAACCCCCTAGATACCAACTATTTGTCACTTTTTCATCGAGGTAAAGGACAGAGGAGGTACACCTGGAGAGGGAATTAAGGTGGCTGTGACAATGGACAATGATGGTAGATGACTGTCATGGGGTGTGCTGGGGGGAGAACACCATGCGGACAGCAGGGATGGACCAGCACACAGCCACACAGGACACACAGAACAGGCTCAGCCTTTGCCCTTTAACCGCTCCCTTCTAAGCACTGAGATGTGCAGTGGTTTTGAAAGAAAAACTTTTACAAGTAGTTTGCAAAGCAAGTTTAACGTTATTCTGCCTAGAAGGGGCTCTGTTCTGAAGGATGCAGAGAGCATGCACCATGCAGTGCCCAGCACTTACCTGTGTCATAGTGAACTACCAGGGAACCGGAATGATCCCCGGTCTTCAGCGGGTGAAACTCCACTGTCACTTGCACGGCATCACCAATCCCAAGAGTCCCAGTGGAGGGATCCACAGAGAAGGGACTGCAACAGAGAAAGAGACACATCAGTGCTATTGTGGGAAATCTGGGGACTATACTCCTTTTGCAGCCTACTCCACTTCAACTCACTTGTGCAAGCAGGAAGCAAACAAGCTACAGCCAGCAGAAAAAACAGAACATAGAGGATCAGAAATGGCACTACAGGCTCTCACTTCTGAAGAGATGCAGCTCTCCGAACATCCATCGTGTGGTGTCAAACGACCTCACCTCCCCCATACTCTGCATCCCCATCTCTTCAGGGAGGCTCAGGAGTCCGACTGCTGGCAATACAGCCAGATGATGGGTTCTGAGGAACACAGAGAGGGTGAGAGCTAACTGCCTGCACAACTTGACAGGAATCTGTCTTTTCCTGCCACCTATAAACTCCACCTCAAGAGATGCAAATGTCAGGGCGTTACCTGTCCCAGTGAGACTGCAGCCTAGCAATCAGTCAGGAGGGAGAATAAGTGTCTTTCTGAAGACCAAAGAATAAATATGATTTAATTTGCAAAATTCTTTTTTTTTACCTTGAAAACATCCTAATTTAGCCTAAGAAAGGGTGTGTTTCATCAGCATTACAATGATAGCTGCTCTAAGAAAAGGAACAATCAGCAAAAGCTGAGTAAGTGCAAATGCAGATTAGAGCGATACAAGGACATGGAAACAAGACACAGCAGGAGGATCCCTTGTACAGCCTGAACCGTTAAGCCCCTGGCTACATGAAGTGCCATTACCAGGAGCACATCAAGGTAAGTTTAACAGGAGGTTTTCTGTGTATTCACAAACACTGCAATCTGGGACTCTGGATTGTAATCCAAGCTCGGTAACTGTTTGCTTGGCCCACCAGGCAAATTCTGTGCAATGCATTGGAAATAATTATGAAAATGTGTTGGGGTACTTTGGATTTAATATGAGCAATTATGATTTGTCACCAGGTAAATGGCTCTTGGCTGACAGACACAACACTCAGCGCTTTAAGGCAAAGGGACAGGTCAGGTCAAACATGCTTCTGCAGCTGAGCTTCATGGCTCTTCTACAGCCCCACTTAGAAAACAAAAGATATTGCTTTTAGTGCTTTGCTGGTGGTCAATTTGTCACCTTAAAAACATGCTCTGGAGAGTTTTACCGTGATTAGAGAATGCAACACACACAAAAATACTGAGAACAACTGGAGCCATGCACAAACTGAACCTTATTCATGTAAGTAGTGACACCTGATGAAATTGTGGGAGTTTCTGCTCATTAAGGAGATGTCGCTGCAATTAGGGGCCTGACCTGTTCCCATTACAACCAGCGAGAGCACTGCCACCGAAGCACAGGGCCTGCAATGTTTGTGTGCTGGGCCTGAGAATCTGGAGAGGGGAGGAAAGAGCTCAGAGCCCTCAGAGCTGGGCTGTTCTACATGGTCCTGCATCCGCACTGATGGTCACTGCCAGGACTGCTGCAGGTCTTTGCCAGGGCTTGGGTGGGATCATTGCCTGGTGTGAGAAGGGCAGAGATTCTGGGGATTTCTGTGGTTTTTTTTGTGTGTTTGTTTTGTTTTTTTTTTTTTTGTTTTTTGTTTTGTTTTTTTCCTTTCCTTTTCTTTCTTTCTTCTTTCAGAAATGTTGCCAGAACAGAAAAGCTGCCAGTTCAGGGGGAACCTGGGCAACACTTCAGCACTACCTCCCATCCTATCACCTTCCTGCTCCTTCCCCATGTCTACATACTCCTGCTGCCCTCAGATGGATGGAATAGGATGGGAATAACCCTCCTGAAGATACCTTAATCTTTTCAAATTATCAGAAGAAGAGGATCCAGCCAAGTTCAGGACTCAGTTTTCAGGACTGAGAAACGGAGCACAAATCAGACACTGCCTGTCCCACATCCCACCCGATGCTGTACCCATGAGACAACTCTCTTCCTGCTGTAGTGGGAGCTCATTACCCCTCACATGGACCTGGTTCTCCAAGACCCAAAGATGCAAGCTCCATGGTTAAACTTAATTCCCCTGAATTTCAGTCACCGTCACTAAGCTGTTGTCTGCAGCCTACAGATGAGGCTAAGGAGATGTCCCTGACACACTGTCATAGCCAAATGAAAACCACTGCTGAGAGATGACACTAGCGGGACAGATGTTGGCTTTTTACCCATTAAGTGTGAGCTGTTCTTTGGGATAATTTGCATCCTGTTAGACCTACCCTTTTAATGAATCACTACTGCTCCTGAAAGACAGAAAAGATAAGGTTTGGAGGCTTTTTAATAGCTCATTTTCTTCTGACATGCTTTGTAACTATGTCCATTTGTAGGTTTGCTTTGTTGTACGACATCTAGACTTTCACATGTCCAGATCTCCCAATGGCACCTTGCAGTCCCCAGCTTGTATAAACTTATCTAGCCACACCAACTGAGGAGAGACCTGCCCATCAGTACTTGCCGAGATCTTGCCTGTTATTGCCCTTCAGAAAGAAAGCAACACCAGATTCGTAAGCAATTTCATCATGATATATTTTGGCATTTACATCTTGCTTACTTTCACCAGGCAACAGCTCTCCATCTTGACAGCTGGGCATCCTGTGATGATACCAAAGGCCAAATACTCATGACAGAATTGAGACACACGACTGACAAGTGAACAAAGCTGGCAGTTCTGTGGCCCAGGCTCTCAAACCACCATCTGCTTGTTCTCCTGAACCACACCTTTGGCACATGCAGTGTGCAAGCAGGCTGCAATACACTTCAAGTGCCATGGTGTGTTTATCTCCTGCAGCCAACCTTTCTTTTGTCTACTGGGGCCTTATAAAATCATTTGAGTTTGGGAAAATAGATTTCATTACAAGCTACCTCCAAACCCAAGGAAGACAGTAAAATTATGGTGATTTAATTGCCTCTTCTGTCCAGTAAGATCTTTTGCAGGGAAAAAAAAAAAAAAAAAAAAAAAAAGGTTGTTTAATCTTGGCATATATTATTTTTTAGTAATGGTATAACAACCAAAGCCAAGCAATATAACTTTTCCAGTAAACCCAGTCTGATACAGTCAAAGCATCCAAGACTCCATCTCTGTGCTAAAAAATCCTGTGTGGAGTCAGCATCTCGCAAGGTCTGTATTTCCCTCTTTCACTGCACCTAGGCTTAATTTTCACATCCTTGGATGGTCTTTGCACATCCTATGGGAACTCGCCAGTCTCACGCCTCCATGTAGCATATGGGTACTACAGGGAGGGATGCAAGGGGGATCGAGGCACTGTGCCTCGCAGGATAATTTCCTGAGCCCTTCAGAGCTTGGTGAGGACATTCCTAAATGGATCTTGTCTCAGACTGATCCCCTCTAGCCCCATAGCATGGCACAGCACATCAGCAATGTCAGGAAAAGGCAGTGCTGCACTGAGATCTGCTTCCGGACACCCTTTTCTACTCGGATATACTGGAATGACATTTATCTCTGTGAATGTCATGGAGCAGAAACTCATTATCCTGCCTTAAGAATAAGACAACAGGAAGAGACTTTCTCTATTTGTACTATCATTACTTTTTATTACCATGCTATGAGCTGGGTATGGACACACAGAGGGAGGAGAGGCATGAAGCCAGACTGCATAACAGGGAGTGCTTTTGTGGTTTTCTCCCTCCATGAAAAGTGGTCAAAATGCAGCTATGCTTCTGGTAGAAACCATGGCAAGGGAGAGCTCCAAACGGGAACAGCAGAAGGATGCTGAACTGGCCCCATGGCTTCACTTAAGAGCCCTTCTCTAGAGGGAAATGCGCAACAGAAAACATCAAAGCCTTTAGATAAACGACTAACAGGCAGGGAAAGTCATCATGAAGCGACCAGATGCGAGAGCTGAGGTTAAAGGTTAGGATTGGAGATGGGCTGGAAAATGCACTGAAGGTGAAGGCAAACAAGTTATGCTTGATGCCACAGAGAAGGAAATCCAGAGAAAAGCAGCAAGGAAATGTCATATGAGCAGCACGATGGACTAGGAAATGGTGGCATCTGCAGCTGACTTGTGAATGGGCAAGAGCCTGAATATGCTCAGGCCCAAAACCACAATTTTAAATTGTTTAGATAGAGAATAAAGGATATAGAGGTCACCTGATGGATCTATAAGCTTAGACAGATCTCTCACTGCCTTCTACTCCACTAATCATCCTCCTCCTCCTCTCACATGCAAGCATGTATTTTTATTTTAAGAGTATTTAAAAAGAAATCTGAATGAAAGTCAGGGCAACTTAACTGGAATAAAATGCTACATATATTCAAATAATTAAATTATCTGTTTGAAATTTCAAAGTGAAATTTCATCATGAAATGGAAGAGATGGCAGATGCCCTCAGCTGACAAGGGAAATCATATCAGCTTCCCATCCCTGTACACATGTAGTCCAGTTGTTCAGAATATTTTTTTTTGTGTAGTTTGAAATAAAACGTTTGCAATGCTTCCCGTTTCTTTATTGCAAATCAGGGCGGAAATATTTGCTCAAGCACAGAAACTCTTAAAATCCATGTCAAGGAGGACTCGACATATGCTGTATCACTCAATAGGAGAGTTGAAGAGTCCATTGCAAAAAGATGCTAGACTTTACTGAGTATTTATTTTGGTGGCAAGTACTAGATCTGGAGATCCCAGAGGAAAACTGTGCAGTGATGTACAAGTTCCTGCCTATGTGTTTCCACAGGGAAAAGAAGCAGCTTCCTTAAATAGCATCCTAGAAGCCTGCTTAAATAGCCTTGCCAGGCTTTGGTGGAAGCTCCTCTTGAACCCTCACGTTTCACAAGAGAAAAGTACAGAGTAGCCTTCTGAGCCCTGTTTTCCTGGAGAAGAAGTTGAAGCAACTCAGGTGCACCAAGTCAGACCGCTGGTCTTTGCTGCATTCTCCTACACCAAGACCTCCGGGACCAAGCAACTCACCACGAATTACCAGCCAACTGAACCAGTTTCCCTGCAGCTGCATCACCCTCTCCCATTCAGCCGACTGGGAAACCAGAGACTGTCTTCTGAGACCAGAAGGAGCAGGACAGGCTGTCCACAACACAGCTCATATCAGCCATTTGATTCGGGACCACCAGAACACCATGTGCTTGCAGCCTTCCAGGGCATGGGTGTCTTTGGCCGACACTGGTATGGAACCACTTCAGAAGGCACTCAGGATCAGGAGGTTGCAAGCTGGATACTTACAGATCTGAGCACTCTCCAGGAAATATGGGAGAGATAAGGCTCTAGAAGAAAGGGCCCCCAACCCATGCACCAGACGCTTGCTACATCTTTTGCCTGTGCCCTCATTACCATGCTGCTCTGGGGCTGTGGTGCAGTTTTAAAGCCAGTGTCTGCTCATCTCCACCTAAAAGCTCATTCTACTTAATATTTGGTCCCAGGGACCAGACCAAATCTACGGGAAAAGAAAGTTCATGGACCACACAGTGTTCTTGTCAGGGCCTCAATATCAATTGCTTTGATCTATGATCTCTAATGGCACTTGCATATAAAGACACAGCTGCTGGTAAATTCTTAAATGTCTCTCTCACCAACTCACAGCTTGCCCATCTCTTAACACTGTGTTTGGTCTACAGGAACCGAGCTCCTAGAGCTGTCGCCTGCCACGCAGCATCTTACACAGCCCAAGGGCAGACAGGTTGCCTTCCTTCGTGTGCTCTTCCAGTCTAATGGAATCAGTCTTGCAAGATGCTCTGTTGGACACGCCAATGCACTACAAAACCTCGCTGCAGCACGCAGAGTTTTATCACAGGTTCCATCATGCTTAAAACACTATAAGCAACAGCAAACCCCACATGTCCTGCCTGTTTCCAGCTACAGCTGCAATACAGCAGCTCAGACGCTCTGGTTTCATGTTGTTACCAACTGTGTTATCATGCAACAGTGTTTTGCACAAAGAAGATGAGCTCCTTTACCTCTCAGTGCTGATGCAGTAGCGAGCCTCCCGGTTACCCACGTTGCGAACCAGCAGAGTTTTCTGGGAGCTGTACTTGACTGGACAGACAGAGAAGTTCAGCTGGTCAGGGAAGTCCAGGATAGCTCGGGCACCTACAGCTCGGATTGGTACGATAAACTTTTCCCTTTCTGTGATGCAGGTGAGCTGGTGGAAATAATCCTGCAGGGAAAGAAACAATTTCAGCACAGTGCATTTAGTATGGCAGAAGAAAAACTGCTGTTTTCTATGACTTTAACAGTAGCATCCAGTAAGGTCAAAGGGCTTTTTACCTTAGGGACCTTTCATTCCTGTAGCGTGACTTGAACAAGGCTACTAACTTGCAAAGAAGAAACAATCCCATCGATTCACCTGCTTTCACAGCAAGCTGGCAGAACCAGACAAAATTTTTGGATACTTTGATTCGGAGGCACCAAAATAGAGCAATTTCATGGAAGGGATTACAACAGTAACAAGAACCCGTTTCCATCACCACCGCAGATGATCAAAGGCTCCACTAAGCACCCAGTTGTGCCACAGCACTAATTCCAATCCCAGCAATGCAGCAACCTCACTGATGCTGGCCAAGGGATGCTCAGGTGCCTTTTCAAAAGGACTTTGCCATGTGCACAACCAACACTCAGTGTTTGGTGAAATATTTAACAAGCTGGACACGGGAATTGGTTTAATGTCAGGTGAGTTTAGGTTAAGTGTGTATTTCCTACCCTTTTCCAGAGCATTATAGGGACAAGGCTGGGGTCACACACCCTTAAAAAGCTATCTGATCCATCTCCCAACTGCAGAACTGGCTCAGCTGTATACCCAAGCTATTCCTGCAAGATGTCTGACAAGTACTTAAAAGCACTAACAATTCCACCCCTGCCCTCAGCAGCCTATTCCAGCTCTACCCTAGACTATAAGAGTTCTTCCTGTGCCTAATCTCAGGTACATGAAGGCAAGGCTACAGCAACAAGGATTTGGCCTCAGAGACAACCATGACCTTGAGAGAGCAAGTTGCCTCTCGCCATTCATGCACAGGCACGTTGCACGCTGAGCCCCCTCTCCAGGGACGCCCTGGGACGCTGCATCCTGTACAAGGCCGGACTCTGCTCTTTGGAGTGCCCTGACCTTCAGCCACACTCTGTGACCCACCAGAATGGGACCTTGCACCAAGCTGAACGCAGCCTCAGGCCAAACTGGGGGAAAGCCAAGAGAAGAGGGGTGCCAGGCAGAAGCTGGCTGTGCAGGCTGCTGTGAACCCACAGTCCCGTGAGCATTTGCAAGCTGAATAACCCTCCCTTGGGAGGAGATAGAGGCTGCAGATCTCCACTGCAGCACTGCCCTGTGTTACCAGCTCTGCAGGGCACTTACTTACAGTCTACGGGTACGGTCTATGGGTACAGCTGGAACTAGTTTACAGCCTTGTTTTACTTTGTAACTGCAAACCCTTAGACGGTTTCAATCCAGGTTTCTAAATAAACATGCCTGGGTGAAAGAGGGGTTGCATCGCTTCCACGCTTTAAAGATTCTTTTTAGACCCACCAGCTTCAGTCTACAGATTTTCAAGACAACAAAACTTCATCCTTCATACAACTCCTCTCCCAGTTTCAAGGAAAACACTTGTCACTGTACAATGGGTCCTCTTCTCTTATTCACCTTCGAGAAGCAATAAGTTACAAGCTCTGGCCTGCAAAGTATCACCACTGGCATTTGAATTTCACCCAATGAAATTAAAGAACTGCTTGTGTCTCAGAGGTGTCAGTTCAGGCTCTTTGCAAGCTCAGGTTAACGTTAATAACTGTCACAGTGATAGCAGCCTTCACTGCCCAGCACACCAGCAAATGCAGGGGTCGGTTTTGCTGCGTAACCAACCCTAAATACCTCACTGAATTCTTTGCAGCAGACAACTGCAAAGAAGAGATCCTTGTAGCACGAAGTAACGTAGCAAGTCAAGCAGGGAAAGCTCCCTGCGGAAACCAGGATATCATAAAGGCTGGAAAAGAAGGGCCATTAAAAGAGAGGAGAGACTGGAGGATGAAGACAGCTTCCCATGAGAAGGGGTGATCCTTCTGCCTTCCTCAGCCACCTGTTCACAACAGGCTTTGAAATCCGTCACTTGGCTCCAGGTTCATTTTGCACAGGGCCATTTGCCTCGATTTTCTGCCCCTTTCCTCCCCTCAAAAGTCATCTTAAAAGGATACTTGGAATAGCTTCAGTGTGCTACCAAACATCTAACAGCACCCTAACAGCAAATTCTAATTTCAGTAATGCAGTAACTCATCAGCCTGTCATAATCATATTAACAAGCATTAATTCAGTCTCCACTGAGCAACAGTAGTGAAGTTGGCAAACTTTACAGACTGAATGTGTATTGCTTGAATATATTGTATTGCTATGGCAAAAAGAGCGAGAGGACAAAACAGAATAAGCTGTGCTATGTATTCATATGCTTCTTGCTTCCTTCTTAAGATAATCTATTCATAAGCCAAAGGACACACACAAAGGTATGTATTCCTGCCTATTGCCAGTCAGTTCCACGATGGTTTCCAATTAGGCAGAGACTGTCAGACCATAACGCAAGGACACCTGAACACAGGGTGGCATGAGAACACCCACACCGTGCAACCGAAGCCTTAAAACAGAAATGTGTACATCAGAAGCAGCAAGAGTAACTACCTGGAAATGCTGTCCAACAGAAAAATTAGCATTTCTTATTTCTAAGGCAAGTGCCAATAAACAGACACATGTCAGCTCTTTATTTACCTTCTTACAGTCCAATCCTGTGGCATATTCCCAAATGACTGCAAGACAATGGGAAACTGCTCATTTTTCAAGCAAGTGCTATATGACACGTGGCATTTCAGCCACTAACAACTCACACGGTCCTTTTATTCAGGGCTTAGCCACAATTTTACTTCCTTGAACCAGGAGTGACTTTGCTGAAGTCAGACTTACCCCAGGGAAGAACAGATCCAAACCAACTCCACAGCAGGAGGAGTGCCCAGCCCTGGCAGAGGGGTTTGTACCTGCGTCCCAGCTCACTGGGTTGTCCACCCTCCCTGCAGGTGATGGAGCAGCAGAGGGGCAGAGCCTCTTCAAAGGCAGCACTCGTAAGCCTTCCACAACTAACATACAGATATTCTGTGTGCAAGCCACTGCAAGTCCAATGTAGGTGGCTCTACAGAACCATTTCCCAAAGCCTCTTTGCTGAAGGGTTTTCAGGACGCCTCCTGACTGCGCTGTTGACGTGTTTCTAGCTGAGCTACAGCACTCTGGTGCTTCACTGGCCCACACTCCATCAAGTATGAGACAAAATGTTTGATTCATACAAAATTCTGATTCTGCTGTATAATTCCCCATGTGCTCCTTGCTGAGCAGCATGCATCCCTCTCCCCATGCCCTGCACACCCCCCAGTGCAGCAGAAATCACCGGAGTGTCACTGAAGCTCTGCAGAGGACCTCTCGCTGGCAGAGCTCCCTGCTCCATACACTTGACAGTTCAAGGGCAAGACAAGGGACAAAGCATTGGACATGGGGGTTCTGGAGGGTTCTCTCACCCCACTTGTATTTGTGGGTTCACGTGCTGTATTTGTGATGTTCACGTGCTGCTCTTCTGCTTCTCTAAACTTGAAGAGCAGCACTTTGCCCTTCAGGGGCACCAATATACCTCTGCCACCCCCCAAAAGACCACTAATTAATATGAATAAATCACATTTTGGAGGCACTGGTGTACTTTGCAAAGCCTGCCTCAGTGAGATTAAGCTCTTGTGTCACTTGGGTAGTTTGGAGAACTGCCCTAGGACAACAACATTTTAACCCTAAATATTAATGATGTTAAATAATTTCTCAGTCCCTCCAAAGGAACAGATTATTTCACAAGCATGGGGAGCTAGGGACCACAGGGCATTTCCTCTTTAGTTTTCTATATCAGTGCTGTTTGAGGATAGGACAAAGTGTTAAACTATATCTAAGCAGCAAGTGAAAGATGAAAAGGCAGGTACGCCCAAAGAGATCTGCACCGCTGGCTCGGTGCAGAAACATCTGCTGGCTCAAAGCTGTCCCCTAGCCTCGCCTCTCCAACAAAGTCATGCGAAGGACAGTGCTAACAGGTAGCAGGGTGCTGGTGGAAGGACTCAGCATGCCTGTCCTTGTTTCCCTGCAGTGCTTCCTCCCGTCCATGCCAGGTATTAAATTCTTCTGTATTAACAAGCCTCCAGGTAACAGTATTGACCCTTCACATCACAGCACTGAGAATCAGACCTGCCAGGGACACAGCACAGATGTGCAAACCTCTAAGCAAAGGCATGGCGTGTTTGGCATGGAAGAGGCGCCAGCTGACAGAGCAACCACAGTATCACGTGTGATGACACAGCCACAGCGCAGGCTCTGGGTAACGTGTCTGCCTGCAGCTTGTACCTGCCCGTTTATTCCTCTATGTGCTCGTTCAGGCAGATGTCTCAAAGCCACCTGCAGCCTAACAACCTCCTGCCGAGTTAGGGACATCTAGAACTCAGTGTGCCTGTGCCAGGCTGGCTCCCTGCCACCTGCACAGTGCTCCCTCTGCCCCAGCCTCCCAGCTGCATCGCAGACAGACAAGTGCCCTCAGGGACAGCCCAGCTGCAAGGCTTGAAAACAGAGGGGGTGGAAAAGCATCATTTTTGCTCCAGTCCAGGGTGAGGCAAGGAAGTGGCTGACCAGTGGGAAACAGAAAAGCTCTCTGGATCTGTTTGTTCCTCCAGTATTTTCCATAATAATTAAACCCCTACCATTGGGCAGAGAGATGGCCAAACATCAACACCCCATCCTGCCATTTTCCTACACTTCCACGTGCATCTTCCGTCATGAACACTCAAGGAAGCGCAGGGAGGGAAAGCACAGCCCGCCAGTCCCTGCTGATAACAGCATCCTGCAGTGCCATGAGGGGACCAGCTGCAGACTGCCCGACCACAGCCTGGAGCAGAGCCCACAGCAGGCTGTGGGCTATAACCAGTGTGTAAAAACCACCATGACTTCAGACATAATGTTCCGCTGTCCAACACACGCGGCATTAAGGTGACTCCAGTTTCCAAGGGTGGCAGTATTCACTCTGATCAGGCTCACTTCGGGTCCTCCAAGTAACAAGTTACTTTTAAACACACCTCTGTATCTACCATTAGTGGAGCAAACCCATAATTACACAGCAGTGGACAGATACCAGAAACCAACACCTCGAGAGGCCACCCCACCACAGATGGCAGACTCTCTTATCTCTCAGACCAGCAGACATGACACTAAATGTTCCATCACTGAAGGAAAAAATAATCTGAAACATGTAAGAGCCTCCAGCCTATGAGAGCATAATCTTCACCATGGGGAAGGAGTTTCCCCCGGTTCTAGATACAGGACATCCTCACTGGACCCAGGGTAGTCCTCAAAACCCACAGCAGATGCCCTGTTCTGAATCCAGCCCAGCAGGTTCAGCTTCCACTGAAGGCATCAACCTCTCTGGACCTCCAGTCTCACCTTGTTCTCCTCCGGGGTGAACAGGATGTGGAAAGTTGAGCACATGCCAGGTGCTACTTTACAGCACGCACCACCAGGGACGGTCAACTTGAAGTAAGGTGACGGCTCCAAGACAACCTTCACCAGCCGAGGAACCTGCAGGAAAGACAGGAAACTATGATTTTGCCACTCATATGGAAACATGAGGAGAAAATACCTGGCCATGCCCTGGGACATCCCTCCTTAACCACCTTTCCAAAGCACTTTTAACTCTTGAGGTTGTCACAACCTGGATTGGAAGCCCAGGGAGTCGCAAGGGTGATCCCCTTGGGTTGAATTAAGGTGAAACGACACCAAGCAACCGGTTAAAATGTTTTACTTGCGGTAGAAAACAATTTAAACTTGGAAAAGGATAATAAGCAAAGTGGTGTCTTATAAATCTATAAGAAAGAAAAGAAAGGAAGGGAAAGGGAAAGTGAGAAAGAGAGTCAAAGCAATCTGGATCAGCATCCCTGGATCCAGTGCTGTCTCAGGTCCGACCGTCTTGGCTGGTGGCTGCACACACAGCAAAGTTTCTGTCCCCTTCAGTTCATCTTATCAGCTGGTTAGCATACTTCTGCTTCTGGGGCAGAAATGCTCACCTCTTGTCAGGCCTTGTTGCCTCTTCAATGGCAATGGCACAAAGCCGTTAGCAAGGCCAGCATGGTGTCTGGCTGACACAGTACCGGGCTTACACAGTGCAGCCAGTGATGAGTGGTCTTTGTGCTTCGGGGGAAACTTTTGGTTTCACTCAGTTTCCCCCCTCTGAGGTCCACATAAGGCGTTTGTCAATACAACTGCAAGGGAGTGGGGGGTGCAGCCTTCCATGTGCTCCCTCTCCCTCGGGTGACATTCCTTAGACTAATCCAAAGGCCACAGCTGGTCCTGGAGGTTTTCTGTGGTGATGAATGTTTGAGGCATCAATCCCTTCAGTTCCTTACAGAGGTACATGCACCTAATACACCAGTATGGAATCCATTCTGCCAGGGCAAATTAGCTCTAGGCCAGAGGCAGTGGGGCAACACCCGGCTGTGAAGGAATCACCGAGCAGGTGAGACACCAGCAGCACGGAGAGATAATACCTGAATCAAGTCATCCACATATCAACCAGCCCAAAGAACCTGCGGGCTTCTGCCCACACACACCCAAGCAGTCATGCCTCTGGAGGGGGATGAAATACCTGAAGGCAAAACAGTACCTGTTATACTGGGGGAAGGAAGAAATTAACTTCTAACATACTGGGTTTGAGTGGGGCAGTCAAGCTGCACTGCTACAGTCACTCAGGCAGACCAGCAAGAGAAGGAGATCACAGACACTGTGGCCTTACTGGGAATAAAAGGAAACCTGGAGAGCAAAAGGAGGAACATAAGAAGACAAAGAGACAAGAAACAAGGAGATGGCCAAGGGAATTTAAAGGGAGCTGTAAAGAAGCAAGGGAGAAGCCAAATACGCTACTAGGAAAGGCTGATGCAGAAGATGAGAGTGGTCAACTTGCCAAAATGATGGAAAGCCACACAACCCCCAGGCTGGGCCTATCAGTTATGGCCTTCAGAGGCATTTTCTGCCTTGAGATACATAACCAGCACTGACTCACAGAGTAGTTTCCTTGTTAAAAGCCCCTCTCGTCTCTCTGGAGGCTCTTGCTGCCTGGTGCCTGTAGCCAGGCAGCTGCCAGTGCAGGCAAGGCAGATTTCTGGGCACTCCTCCCCACACCCAGGAGTCCGGGCAGGTACTCTGCTGCAAGTTTCTGCCCTCTGGGATACCACAAGCACAGACACAGCAAAGAGGTGCTTTCTAGCACACTGATATCAACCCCTAGGCACCAAATCTCATCTCAGAAAGTCTAAAACAGGCAATTTTGACTGACAGGCAGCTTCACTGATAAACAACAATCCCACGTGAGGCTTGGGAAAAATGGAGGTTCATTCTTCACCACCCGCTCGAGCCTGATAAACCCATGGCCAAGGCAGTCCTGACGTCTCCAAACACCCTTTGCTCCCAGCAGTGCCCTGGGACAGCGAGTTCCAGGAGCACATTTTACACTGCAGACAAACATTTTGGTCACCAAGACCCTTGGGAGATGAGCTAAGACATTCAGCAAAAGCCACCCAGAACATCACTGAGGGTGGTGAGGAGCAGCCTGAAGACAAAAGAAATTTTACAACACACAGGAAAGAGCAGTAACTATACAGCAAAGCACTTCTGTATTCGAATGACTACAGAGCCTCTATCTGGAATATATACTTTGCTGTTAGCTGGATTTTTATGGATCAGACAACCTCAGGCTACCATGCAGTATAGGTCAGCGTGATTTGGAGGAATCTGTGAAACTGGTGAGAAAACTTTGAGACAGAGTACAGTATTGCTGGACATCACGAAAAGCCCACAAAATTAGAATATAAACACCTCTCTTGGGATTATCATCTCTATGTTTGTGTACTTAAACATGCCAAGGATTTTCCTTAAAGCTGATCTTGCTTTTTCACCAGAGCTGTCCAGTGGCTGAGGACTTACTAGATTCAAAACTAATTCCTTTTGGAAAAAATCAACAGCTCACACATTGCCTCCCCTTTACAAGGCATACAAATCACAAGCTGCAGCTGCACAAGTTTATTGTTTTTTACTGGGAATAGCAGAAATGCTGATGCAGATGGTTTTTTTCCACTTGAGGAAGCATGAACAGAGCAAATTGACTTTGCCTGTTGGCTGGTACTTGGCAACGACAAATATTTCGAAGTGCCGTCTGGATAACGGAGCAGCTGAAGCCCAATGACTTAATGGGAACAAAGCAGAGCCATAGGAAAAAAAGAGAAACTGAGGCACGTTTTATCTAGGAAAGAGGATACCTACTGCAAAGAGTGCCCAGAATCAGCGTGGACCCCATGAATGGTGTCCCTTGGACAGGGGCACCCACGCTGCTCTTTCCAGTACTCCCGAGCTAAACCAGGCCAGGAATGGCGCAGGACTCCCCAGGAATAACTGAGGGACCACTGTGAAACTGTCTTTGCCAAAGGGTCTTCCATTTTCAACCATTTCCCTGTCAAAACCTGTTACCTCAGAATATACTTTGACTTCTCTTGCTGTTCCCCCACCTGCAACATGCTCTGACAGCTTTTTTTGTCTGCCTTGCTTGTTTTCCAACAAGACTGGTAGATTTGGAGGGGGATTAATTCACGTGCTCTCACGTACGCTTCCATCTGCCCATCCTGCCCTCCTCTCACGTGCACATCTTACTCTTCATTACAGAACAGTATCTTTAATTACACCTTTCTTTTTCAGAACTCTCTCTGCTTCCAGCACACTTACTCTTACGTGTCAAGAGAAACCCTTGTGTGTACAATGTTCTCTCCCAGAGCACTTTCCCACTCAGTTCCTTTCCTCCCTCCTGTCTTTTCCCACCAGCTGCTCTTGGCACGTGCCTCATTCAAGCAAACGTTTCCCCTGCTGAAATTCAAAAGGTCTCAATTTTCCTCTTTACAGTGCAACAACATTGCTGACATTTTTCAGCTTCTCCCTTCTCAACTTTCCTGGGAAATCTCAAAACAATCACAGTTTTTTCAAGTAAAGGTGGAGACCTGCAAGAGAACATTACTCTGGATGTGCTGTGGTTCTCCAAAGGGAAAGCAGAGAGCCACGCTGCTTAGAAAAACCTGAGCAGAACTGCATTAAGCTGAGCAGGAGCCTAAAGTGGCACCGAAAGGCCTCCCACTGCTTCTGCTAAAACAGTCCATTTCCCCTGCTGCCTCAAAACACCCTTCCTGGAGTGCTAATGCTATGAACCATAACCTCCTCCAGCATGAAGTGGAGAAGGCTCAGGCCCTGGGCTTTGACAGTGAGCTGCACAGAGGCAGCTGAACAGGCTGTGAGAGGCAGGGGTGCCCTGCCAGAAACCGAGACTAACCAGGGAGCCACCAGCACATGGTGCATACTCGAGGTAAAGCAGGAGAGAAAGTAACAACTGTACAGCCCTCAACATCCCCATCAATCCAGGGCTTTCAAGGGGAAGGACGCCGGCTAGAAAAGCTCCTTTGCGTTAGATACCACCAATGTGTGGCCAAAATCAGGGGGAGGATTCCCAGCATGGGAAGACTTCCACCGTCTTGCAAAATAAAGGTGGTGAGACATGTTATTCTGGATGTGTCGTGCTGCAGCAGATAACTTGTTGTGCTGTAAACCACAGGAATTACACTGCTCTCCCAGCACAGTGTTAAACATCTGCACCCCAGCACTTACCTTGTCAGTGTTCCTCAGAATCAGTGGCACTTTGTAGACCTCAAAGGGGATGTAGTTCTGAAATACCACCTCTGAAGGAAAAGGCTGAAACAAGCTCTGGTCCAGGTCAACTGCTGAGAACTGGAGAGGCAAGACAGGGCTGTGAGAGGAGGCTCAGCTGCTGGCAGAAAGATTCACTACAGAGTCCTACACTGATCTCCAGTGGAGTACAGTCTCTTGGTGAGTACATCTGCACAGCTCACGCTAGCGAAACAGCCCCCCACCTGTGTTCTGAGCTGATCAAAAGTTTCTGGACCACACTGAGCAGGCTCAAGCTAAGAAGCCCTTTTGGTAGGTGTTCCTTCAGGTTGCCTTCTCCAGAATGCAAGGTAGCGCTTACTGCCAGCAGAGCCCTGTGCTGACGTGGTCACACAGCTCCAGAGCCCTTCCTGAAGAGCCACCAGCACTCACGGAGCAAGCGAAACACAAGAATTTACATGAGATATCTGTATATCTGGCAGCCTGCCAAATCTCACACCCTGCAAAGGTCCCACACATTGTTCCAACCCAAAACATTAATGCACTTGGTTCTGTTAAATCTTTTTAACAAAGCAAACCAAGTAATTACTATAAGCCCTCAGCCTTCGAAGGCCAATGCTGCCACAGTTGAAGGATTCCCATGACCCCAAGCATTTGACAGTGTCTACACGAAAGCACGAGGTGGCTATTTCACCAGGAGGATGGAAAATGGGAAGCTCGGGCCCTTGCGGCCTGCCCCTGCCTTCCCCCAGTATCAGCTAAACTCCAGCAAAACCCGCCAACTTCAGCAGAGGTTATTTATATTGGCCTAGCACAGATCAGGACTTCCAACCTCTCACCAGGCAAAAACATTCTACCTTTCCCCAGCAGAAGGAACTCTACCACCACCAGCAGTTTGAAAAGACAAGAGGCCCTAGGCACTGAGGTATTCAGATGAGCCCGAGGCACGCCTGTCACAAACACACACCCTCTTCAAATGTCACATCAAACAGCATGGAAAAGGGCAGGAAAAGGCTACCTTGTGATGGGAGGCTTCACCCATGTCCAGAAGCTGGGTAATCTGGGGCCGCCTCATCTCCCAGGTGCTGGCCAGCCTCTGCTGGGTGGTAAGAGACATCTCCTTCAGGAAGGCAGATGGAGTCAGCTGAAATGCAAAACACCAGCAGAACGGATTTTTTTTTTTTTTTTTTTTTTCTGCAGAAAGGATTTTCGTGTTCAAGTACCACTGATTAATGATTTGTCATCACAGCCCCTAGGATAGTCCTGGAAGTCCCAGAAATTACCTGCTGAAATATTTAACATCAGTAAATTAACGATATAGAGCTGAATGGGACACACGCTCCAAGCAAGTGGCTCTGTCCCATCGGCTTCTTCTTCATGAGATGATGTGACATGTTCAGGGATTTCTGCTCTTTGGGTATTTGTTCCCTCTTGAGTTTTGCTGGACTGAGCCAGAGACCTTTGAAGAGAGTGGGGAGGAGTTATCAGAAATCCTCTAACTCCACCTTTGCACAGTGCTCACACCAACTCGCAGGTGGAGATGGCACTGCTGGGTGAGTCAGAGAAAAGCAGAAGAGCAGTGTTGTGCCAAGACGGAGGTAGAGAGGAATGGGTCCAAGTTTTAGTTATTTCTTTTCCTCTCTGTTCTGGCCTCACAGAGCCCTCCACAGGAGGTTACAGAGATGTCTCCTTGACAGAGCCTCAGCACTGGGTCACCTCCAGTGAAGGGAGCTCCAGCCAGCAAAGGTGACAGTTGTGGGTGGCAAGGAGGAATCACCCTGAATCCCCACTGCTGTTTGCAGGGCTGCATCTGTGCTCCACACAGGACACGAGATGCCATAAAACAACTCTTTTGGAAGCTATTCTATCTGGGACAGCCGTGTCCTGTCAAGACTCCAGGCAGTTTGAGCAGCCCACCACATGCCCAGCAGCCCAGCGGTGTGGCCAGGGCAGCACTGGCAGGTATGTCCCCGTGACAGGAGATGTTACTGCCCACACAGCAAAGAGGATGGAAGGAAGCACATTTGCACTTCAGCTGTTCCTGTGCAATGCCCAGTACATTCCTTTATCTTGGCTCCACTGGCACCTTCAGGCAAGATCCTGGACTTTCCCTGAAGCAACACCCCCTACCCCCCACCCCGCACCATGACAGCCCCCTCCAACAGAAGCATGGTAGCAAAGAGGCAGGAAGGTGGTGCCAGGCTCCACAGCACCCTGACAACAGGAGGGGAAGGCAGAGGAGGGGCAGGGGCAGCTTCCAGCCTTAGCCCAGCTCCTACTGGCCCCCAGCCGGTACTTACAGGCACACGGCGCTCTGCCTCTCTGATCAGCTTCGGATAACAGTGTACTGACACCTTTCTCTGGAGTCCATCAGCCATTTTGGGGGATCCCATGGACCGATGAATCTTGCCAGTGGCCGTGACTAGGCAAACCTGGAAGGAGTAACAGGGAGACTAAAAATCCAGAATCCCATGCACAGCAGACCCAAAGGATACACCTGTGTCTCCAGGCTGTGGCATCCTTCCTAACTGAACAAATAAGGCTGCCCCACACTGTCTCCTAATTAGACCATATGTAAGTGGCAGAGTTAAGATTCATAGAAGTCAAACTCCATAAAAATATTCCCTGAGCCAAAACAGACTTTTGCTGTGGGTGCACTCCAACGAGCCTCAACTATTTCTTTTCATGAACTTCAGCTGTCAGCTGACAGTGAGATGCACCAAGGGTCCCTTCCAGGAGCCTGCTGGAGAGTCCCCAGCTCCACATACTGTCATTTACTGCTGTGGCTCCTGCCTTAAGTCTTCACAGTACCATTTACCCTTCCCAGCATCCAATCTCTGCTATCCTGGCTTGGCAACATTGCATCTCCCTTTTGATTTACTCTTTTTCTGGCATCTGGACCACATTTCAAAGAATCGTTTAAGCTGGAAAACACCTTTAAGATCATCGAGTGCAGCTGTAGACCCAGCACTGCCAAGCCCACCAGCCCTTTCCCTGGATGTACGCAGGAGTTGCTGCTCAGAAAATCACCTATGGATTTCAAACGCAGGGAAAGAACAGGGAGGGGGGTGTTGGCTTTGCAGTCTCTTCCAGCTAGGCCACCTGCTGCATGTTTCATCCTCAGCCTCCACAGCATTGTATAGACAGAGCAAGAATAATCTAAGCTCTCACATACACACCATGCAAACCAGATTTCAGGCCAAAACAGCCCAAAGGCCCTGTGCAAACCAAGGCAGGCAAGGCCAGTGGTGGCGAGGCAGGCATCCCCCGTCCCCTCCATGTTTCACCTGCAGCCTGGGTGCATTCACAGCTGCAGCCCCAGGGAACAAAGGGAGACAGGCCGGCACTTTCTCTCTCTCTGGGAGCAAAGCTCGCTCCCTGCCCGGCTCCACTGGGGAGAGAAGGGGCTCCAGCTCTCAGCCCCCAGACACAGAAAGTGCTGCAGCCCCCAGGTGCCTCTCGCCCAGCACAAGACCCCCCCACCCTGTGCTCCGGGGGCAACCTCCCCCCTCAGACCCTCCCCAGAGCAGCGTCTGCCATGCAGGGACACAGATCCCGCAGGAAGGTGAGCACAGCCCGCAGCCAGCAGAGGTTGGGCAGGATCAAGGGTCCCTGCTCTGGGCACCCCCTGCCCCAGACACCCCCCTCTCACAGAAGGGATGCCCCCAGCCCTGTGGCATAGTGCAGGGGGTGTCACTGCCCCCCCGAGCTCCCTGGCAGCCCTGGTCCCTGCTCCAACCTGCTCCCAAGTCCCCCCTGCCCGCGGCTGAGCTGCCCGGGCAGCACCGGCACCCAGAGTCGCCCTCCGGCTTTCGGCCACGGAGGGAACACAGACACCATCCCCCAGCCATCCCTCACCTCTCCCACTCCGCGGGGGCTGTGGGGACACACTGACGGGAGGATCCCCACTGCCAGACTGGCTGTTGCCCCCATTGCCAGGGCAACTGGACGTCACAGCCAGCCCCAACACCACCATGGCAACGGTGGGGATGGGGGGTGGGGGGTGGGGTGGGGAGTCAGCTCTGGGACACGGGGGCAGAGGGCACAGGGATGTTCAGTGCCCAATGCCCCCGGTGAGCACAGCAACAGGCCCTGAAACCGCCTCCAGCACACTGCCCGGCTCCAGAACAGCCACAGCCCCGGGTGCGTCACCCCAGCTCGCCGCAACGGCTACAGACAGTCCCTTGCTGACCCCGTTCTGCTCTCTGACCCACTCCTGGGCCTCACCATGCCTGGAGATGGAGAAGTCCTCAGGCAGACCCCCCTCTCATGGAGCTCCCTGCCCAGGTACACGGGTGCAGCTGAGACAGGGAAGTGCAGGAGGACCAAGTCTCTTTCAGGCTCCTTCCCAATGACTGCCCTTATCGGTTCCAAGAAGGCTTGCAAGCCAGTCACAAAATGAAGCATCAGCCATCACCTCCAGGGGACACCCACGCATTCAAAAAGAGAGCTCAGAAGCTGAAATTTCACCACCGTGCATGCTCAGGACCATGGAGTCAGAGGAGGTACAGGGTTTATATTGCTGTCCCCTCTCCATTCCTGGGCTTGGACATACTCACCTCTGCTCCCTCAGGGACCAACAAGCCTCTCTTCCCTTGCCAACACTCTCTCTGCCCCATGAGCTCCCCTCTGCTTTCCTGCACAATATCCAGTTGTCACCAGCAACCTCAGCTTGGAGCCATCATTCCCAGCTCACACGTGGCTCTCAGCTGCATTTCTGACTCCAAGAGGACACACGTGGAGCAGCCCAGGCCATAGAGAGGGGATCACACTGGCACACAGCCCAGCACAGAAACAAGCCAGCCCGCTCAGCACTTCAAACAAGCCACCCCTCCTCCATCCTAGCAGGGTCTGACCGAAGCAGGCTGCTGGCCCTGCTCTTCAGAGGCACAGGGAACAGAGCCGCTCTACAAGGCTGAAGATCCTTCCCCTATCCCCTGGGAAATGCTGCTGACACAGCTCTCATCCTGCAGAAACACATGAGCGTGCAGCCAAGGGCAGCAGCAGGCGTATGGCATTGTTAACCTCTCTCTTGCTGCAGTGCCAGAAGGACACAGGGCACCATCAACCTGCATCCCCCGACAGCCCTGCTGCAGGCTCCAAGACAAAGCCCCAGCACAGGCACTGCCCAGCTTCTGGACACCAGGACCAGAGCCCTGGGGGGGTGACAGGCACATCAGAAACATCTGTCCTGGCATCAGTGCTGCACTCACCAGATCGAACCCACAGAGTAACTGGGCACAGCTGGTGTCTTGCAGAGGACATGGAGCTGCAGCAAAGGCAAAGACAAGGCTGCAGTGAGGCCCCAGGGCAAGGAAGGCAGTGCTGGCACAGACACCTTACACCGTCCATGGGAGCGTTCCCTTCCCCCATTTTAACCCATGAAGGAAGAACTCTAGTGCTCAACAAAGGGACTGACTGCGACACTTAAAGCCTTTTAGATGCTATCGAAAGGTTTCCTACCAAATAACTGCAGTGAGATCACTTACCCAGCTGCATCATCATGAAGTCCCAATCATGAATTCCCTAATAGGCAGCTCATAATCCTCTCTAATCCAAGCAGGGTTTGTACTTGTTTTCTTCTGAGAAAGAAGGGAATAAAGTTGGCTCAATTGATACAGAGAAATGATTACTTGCTTTGATACTTATTTACTTAGAGCAAACTGCTTAGCTATTTATTTATTTATTTACTTATAGCAAGTTATAGTATTACTTATAGTATTTTTGAATATTACTAAGAATCCTGCTTGCCCAGACTGTTCTGTGGAATTTTACCAAGGACTACTGTGTCCATCAAAACTGTGAAAATCCACCAAGAACTGCAGTGTTCAGCAAAATATTATGTTTTTGTCCTTGGGGAACAGGTGTGCTCTAACTTGTTGGGTCTTGGTAATGAGTAAAGATAGCCATGTACGGGCAATAGAAGTCCCATTGGTTCTCTTAGTTAAGATAGAATGAATAAACCAGCTGAAAACCACTCATTATTCAAGAAATTGGTCAAGAGAATCTGCACATGCTCCGGGGAAAAGTACAAGGTGAGGAGGACTGTGAGCCTTCCTCCAACAGACCCCCAGAGACACCCACCAGGAGGCAATGGGCAGGTGCAAAGAGAACATCAACTGCTGACACCAGCCTCTAGAAATAACCCAGCCTCACTTAGGCATATGGATATGTGTGTTATGTAATCCAAAGAATATGTATATCCACACTCCATAAGTGTGGGACCGGACTTGAAAGAATCAGACAGGACAGCAAGCACTGTTTCACTGTTGTTGTTAGAAGGGGACGTGCAGGAACTTGTAAGCCATAAACCTTGAGAAGCCTGATAAGGGGAACAGAGAAGTGCTGATGTGGGGAAGAGTTACTGCCCCCGTCAGTCACGCGGTGTAGGAAAGAAAGAAAACTAAGAGTCTCTGCAAAACAATTTAGTTGTAAACAGTCCAGTTGCTCGAGTTTAATTATCTACCAACCAACGAGCACTGATAAGAATGTTGAAGCATAGCAAGCAATCAATGTAAAACACGCATCTTCTGATTTCTTATATAAATGTGTGTTTTCTGCAATAAACTGTCTGACTCTCTGCTTGCATCAAGGTGTGTCCTGTTTCTCAATCACAGCACATAAGTTTCAGGTAAAATGTGTTGATGGGGTGCAAGCTTTGTGGAGAAATCCCCTTGCACCCTGGTGCCAGGCTGGTGCTTTATAAATATCTCTGAGTTGTAGAGTCTGTTTCCAGGAATCAGGTCAAACAGAAATTCTGGGGTAAAACGGGATTTTGTGGTCAAACATCGATCTGGAGACCAAGGGCTGTTTTGGGGTGAAAAGGGGGTGGTTTGGGATTGGGGGGGGACTTGCCCGGCGGCACCCAGCTGAGGGTGGCCCCAGTGATGGTGCAGGTGCCGTTCCCCACCCCCACGGCATCCCAGCACTGGTACTGGAGGTGGTTGGGGCTGATGCTCTCGGGGTACCCCTGGGGCAGCAGC